GAATGACCCAGCATGGTGTGGCTTGTGTGCTCCATTGTTCAGCACTTGTCTCAGTTTCCCTGTCAAGCGCTCCAGAGAATCTCCCCCCTCTCCCCAGATGTGGCCTATGAGAGCCCAGGAGGATATTGGCTGCACCACCCAGAGTCTATTTCCAACCTTAGCCTTCCTGTCAACACCAGTGTCTCTCCACACCTGCAAGCTGGGCCCCTTTGGGGAAATCCCATCCTGACTGGGCCTTGACCAAAGTTAGGCTCTAGATGCGGGGATGCTTAAGGAGTAATGAGGCAAAAGCGGGAAAGAAGATCTCCATGGCCACACACCTGAGCTGCTCTCAGAGGAGGAGGGCCCCACCATCGGAAAGAGCTGATGCCTCTCCTTCCGCTATTCTCCTACACATCGGCCCTCATGACCGTTCCTCCCTGCCTCCTCCCTGGTCCCTCAGGCCTCACTGTACCTGTCCTCTCATGTTACTTGTCCCTACAGGCCTCGAACCCTCTGTGGCAATCCCGGGGCTCCACCACCGTGTCTTCGGGAGGCCGTTTCCGCTGCCCATCTTGCAGGCATGAGGTTGTCCTGGACAGACATGGTGTCTATGGCCTGCAGCGAAACCTGCTAGTGGAGAACATCATCGACATTTACAAGCAGGAGTCTTCCCGGTGAGCCCTCAGGACCTCTTGTCCCTCTAAGGAGCAGGGCCTGGCACACAGCGGGGGAACTCATCAGCCAAAAGGGAAGGGCTGAGAGGATCAGTTTAGAGATCAGAGGCCTGGACCCTGGGATGCCCCACACTCACGGGATGCACCTCCCTGCAGCCTGGCCGCTGACCCTCCTGCCACCCCACCCGCTCCCCTCCAGGCCACTGCACTCCAAGGCTGAGCAGCACCTCATGTGTGAGGAGCACGAAGAAGAGAAGATCAACATCTACTGCCTGAGCTGTGAAGTGCCCACCTGCTCTCTCTGTAAGGTCTTCGGCGCCCACAAGGACTGTGAGGTGGCCCCGCTGCCCACCATTTACAAACGCCAGAAGGTACCAAGCAGCAGAGGGAGCAGGCATGGTGAGGTGGGGACAGGGGACAGGGTCTCCAACTGCAGCCTCTCACTCCACTTGGTTTTTAAAGGCTGGCAGATCAGGGCTACTGTCCCAGTTCTGGGCATGACTCAGTGTGTCCATGGCTAAGTCACTTGACCTCTCTGGCCCTGACTTTCCTCGCTTGTAAAATGGGGATGAAAATGCCAACTTCCAAAGTTGTTTTAAGATACAATTAGATAATGGATACCAGCAACTTCAGTTTGGTGGCCGAGGTGCTCTCCAGGCCCTCTCACTACCACACAACTACATTTGACCTAAAACATAATTTAAAACTTATATCAGTGGGGTGCCTGGGTGGCTCAGTCAGTTGAGCGTCTGACTCATTATTTTGTCTCAGGTCATGATCTCAGGGCTGTGAGATCGAGCTGCATGTCGGGGTCTGCACTCAGCACCGAGTCTGCTTGAGATCCTCTCCCTCTGCCCTTCCCTCTGCCCACGATCTTGCTTTCTGTCTCTCTCATAAATTAAATAAATCTTTTTAAAAAATAAAATAGAAACTATATCAGAGGGCAAATGCTGGCAGTATTTCTGAGCTAGAGAGATGAGAATATGCCTTCAGACCCCTGAAATGTGGACACCTGACCTGAAGACCCCCACGAATCCCAGGTTAAACTGGAATCTCAGGAACCAAGGTGGTCAGAAGTGCCGCCTGGCTTTTGACAAAAGTGAATGCAGAATCTGCCTAGAGGGAAACCCCCTCAATTTAGGCCCTTGGGTTCTCCTTAGATTAAGAAAAACAAAATATTAATTCAAAAGTGAAGATACAGAGAGAAGTGTACCCCATGAGTGAAGTCGGTAGAAACAAAAATTACAGATTAAACCCCTGAGGAATTCAGATAATGGAATTATTAAAGACTTGAGAGTCACTGTGTATAAAATGCTTTCTTAAAAAGATGGAATAAAACCCCAGCAATACTAGATTACCAAACATGCAGATTTAACAAAAAGCCAAATAGAGCTTTTAAAAATAAAAATGTGGTTGTTGAAATAAAACACTGAAAAAGTGAATTAAATGGCAGAGTCCTCTGAAGAGAGAATTAGCGAACAGGAAGGTGGGCCTGAAAAAGCAGCCTAGGATGCAGCACAGGGGGATGAGAAGGATGAGCACATATGTCTCCTCAGAGTCACAGAATGAGAAAACAAAGAGAATGGAGAAGAGGCAATCCTAACAGATAATTACAAAGAAGCTTTCCGAATTGATGGAAGGCATGAATCTACAGGTGAAGCATTCAGCCCAGAGCCTGGCATTTGGTGGATATTTGGCAAATGTCTTTCTCGTTTGGTGGTGGAGGCCCTCCTCTTTCCACCTCCTTGCAGAATCCATAAATATGCTTCCACACTTCTTGGATGGTTCCAAGCCATCTAGATCTCTGGAATGGCTGCTCTGATGGTGGGGCAGAGGGGCAGTCCTCTCCTAGGTGGCCCTGGCTGGGATGGGGGGACAGCTCTAGACAGGGTCCTCTAGCTCTAAGGGCTGGCCTGTTGTGTGGCAGAGCGAGCTCAGCGATGGCATCGCGATGCTGGTCGCGGGCAACGACCGTGTGCAAGCAGTGATCACACAGATGGAGGAAGTGTGCCAGACCATTGAGGTGAGCCTGGGATGGGAGGGAGGGGAAATTTCTGGGTTCCTGGGGGTGAATCACAAGTAGTGGGATATAGGTTTGAGTCCAGCTGTGCCCCCTGGCTAGCTCTGTGACTTTGGTCCAGTTACTTCACTTCTCTGTGCTTTGCTGATTATGAGAATGATATGATGACTACCTCGCTGGATATTTTTGAGAATTAAATGAGATTATACAAGTAAAAAATAGGGCCAGAGATACCCCTGAAGTACTTTAAAATATTGTATTTGCTAAAGAGAGAAAATCTTAAAAGTTTTCACAAGAAAAAAAGTATATAACTATTTAGTGACAGTGGTAACTAGACTTGTGATCATTTCACAATATCTACAAATACGGGATCATTACATTGTACACTGGAAACTAATATAATGTTAAGTCAATTATATCTCAATTTAAAAAAAACCTTGTAATTGCTGTTACTGAAAAGACCTGGGAATGAGCAGCCCTTGGCTGCAGTTGTGGCTCGGCCACTGTGTGTGGGGAATTTTCCTTCTTGGCTGTCTGTGGCTTCCATTAAGTGGGGAGTGGGGAGTGGAACAAGTAGGTGAGTGCTCTCCCAGCTAGAGGTCTCATCCTTGCTCCCCTCGTTCAGGACAACAGCCGGAGGCAGAAGCAGTTGCTTAACCAGAGGTTCGAGGCCCTGTGCTCGGTGCTGGAGGAGCGCAAGGCTGAGCTGCTGCAGGCGCTGGCCCGCGAGCAGGAGGGGAAGCTGCAGCGAGTCCGGGGCCTCATCCGCCAGTATGGAGACCACCTGGAAGCCTCCTCCAAGCTCGTGGAGTCCGCCATCCAGTCCATGGAGGAGCCACAGATGGCGCTGTACCTGCAGGTGGGCCCTGGCGGAGGGAGGCGGGCCGCAGAGTGGCTGCGGTGGGGGCCTCGGCACCCGGAGGGCTGGGCTCCGGTCTCCTCTCTGGCTCCCGCTTGCCCCACGGCCTTGGGCAGGTCACCCCGCCTGAGTCCGTTTTCTCGTCAACGAACCGGGATATGCATCCCCGCCTACCCCGCAGGACTGTGGGCACCAGAAATGGGACTTTGCCAGCGCCTGGCACGGTGCTTACGCTCACCCTCCTTTCTTCCCTGCAGCAGGCCAAGGAGCTGATCAATAAGTGAGTAGGCGGAGCGGGCAGGGCAGGGCAGGGCCTGTGTGGGCTCCGCCGCCACGCGCAGGGGGTCGAGGGTGCTGGGGCCGGTCCAGCTGAGCGGCTGCCGCGCCGCAGGGTCGGGGCAATGTCGAAAGCGGAGCTGGCAGGACGGCCAGAGCCGGGCTATGAAAGCATGGAGCAGTTCACCGTGAGCGTGGAGCACGTGGCCGAAATGCTGAGGACCATCGACTTCCAGCCGGGTGAGGGAGTGAGGATGGGAGGGGGCGGCGGGCCGCTGGGACTGGGCGTCCCGAGGGGACGCGGGGGGGGGGGGGCGTCACGGCCAGAGAAGCAGGGACCCCACCTCACGGGGCCTTCCTTGGGGCTAGGCGCTTCCGGGGAGGAAGAGGATGAGGAGGTAGCATTGGACAGGGAAGAGGGCAGCGCAGGGCCTGAGGAAGAGCGGCCGGAAGGTGAGTGCGGCCCGAGGGGCCTGGCGGGGCTGGCCCTACGCTCGGGTCCCCTCTTCTGTGACGCCTTCCTGCAGCCCCGCGGATGGCTGCAGGCCTCGGCTCCTGAAGTGCGTCCCCGCCCCAGCGGGGGGGCGCGCCCCCTAGCGCGCGTGCGGAAGTACACTCTCTTCCCCACCAGCCTTTCCTGGGGGCTCTGGGAGACCAGGTTGGGTCGGGCGGTAGAGGGGAAAGGCACGTGGCTGGGGGAAAGGGGTGAGTTGGGTTCGGAGCTGCCTTGTTCCCGTGGAGCGCCCGCCCACCGAGCTTTCTTTCCCAGGCACAGGCGGGCACTGACCCGCCCCCTGTTGGGGAGCCCGCGCACCTGGGGCCTGGCGCTGGGGTCGCGGAGGACCTGCGCTGAGACCGCCGCGCGACCCAGCTTGGCGCCCCGCCGCGGGGGAGGGGCTCAATAAAGGGCTAATGCGTCCAGACCCGCAGCTCGGTTCACTGCTCACTCTCAGCCTCGGCTTCGGAGGCGACCCCATCACCATCCCGCCCTTCTCCGGATCTGGGACCATCTGAGGGGCGGAAGTGGAATGACCCCCGTGGGGCATCTCCTTGATACCAAGCACGGGTTCGCGAGCCCAGTGCCAAGGGAAGAGGGTCGGGGTGGGGCGGCGGCACCAGGACTTTGAGTTCCTGGGGTTCGATGGGGGCACAGGACCCCCCCCCCCCCCCGGCTGAAAGCCCTTCTGCCGGAGTCCTCGTGGAGCATCCGGTACCCTCTCGCCGGCCTGGGAGGCCACACTTTTCCACGGGCTCCCACCCTGCTGTGCTTCCCTGCGCCCCACAACCGAGGCCAAAGGCTCTTCAGCACTTTTATTAAAAATTGGTGACGTACAGAGTGCTGCGGGCATCCCTGGGCCGCTCTAGCCCGCGGGACTGGGTCAGTTCCAGTCGCGCACGTCCCGGCCCGGGGGTGGGGGACGGGGGTCGAGGTTCTCGTGGCTGCAGACCGCGCCGATCACTTGCCCACCGACTCGAATATGATGCGGTTCTGCTCGGCGCGCTCCCGCTGGCTCTGTGTCCGCGCCAGCTCCAGCAGGGTCCGCAGCAGGTGGAAGGTGAGATCAATGGACAGCGGAGGGTCGTCCCGTCTCGGCCGCTCGCCCGCGGTCCGGGATCTCCACCGGCCGGGCCCCGCGCGGCGCGGGAAGCGCTCGGCCAGCAGCAAGAGCAGCGCGCGGGCCCCGCCGTCCTGGTTCCGCGCCCCGGGGCTCCAGCGCAGACTCGGGTCCCGGACCCCGGCCGCCGCCGCCCCCGGGCTCCACCGGCTGCTCCCCGGGCGCTGCTGTGCCAGGAGCAGCAGCGCCACCAGCAGTGCCGCGCGTCCCCCCTGCTTCATGGTGCCGCCGGCCCTGGACACACAGGGGCAGCGCGGGGTGAGGTGCGCCCGGGGCAGTCGCGGGTGGCACCACTCCCCTTCCCGCGCGCATCCAGCTCCCCTGCGCCTGCCGCCTGGTACCCACAGCCTTCCCTCCAGCCCCAGCCGCTGCCCAGCCCGATCCTCCCTCTCTCCCCCTCTCCCCTTGGGCGAGCGGTGGTGGCTGAGCTGAGCGCCAAGTCCTGGTGCTGAGGGAGTCAGGGCGGATGCTCCGAGCCACTCACAGGTTGCCGGAGAGTGTCTGCACGCCGCAGGACGGGGCTCCGCTCTCTGTCCCTCGGGCGGGCTGAGGGCGCTGTGGGGACCACGGGGTCTGTCCCGGGACCGCCGCCAGCCTTATATAGCTCCAGGACAGCTCCGACTGACGTCAGCGAGGAACATGCACCGATTGTAGAAGCAATGCGGGCCGCAGCCTCAAGTCTGCCGCTTGCGAGACCCGGAGGGGCGCACCTCAGAACCTGCCTCTGGGTCCTGGGGCCAGCGCTGCAGGCGGCCCCCGCCTCAAGAGAGCGAGAAGCCGCTGGGGCGTAACCCTTGCTCTGGGAGCCACGCGAGTCCTTTACCTGCTTACAACAGCCAGCAGGGACTAGGCCCAGTCCCCAGATCAGACCAGTCAGGTGGCCAGGCTTCTGTGGCACACAGAAGAGAGGCTGGACCTCACGGCTGCCGGTGGCGCCCACCCTGCTGTTGGCCTCTGGAAGGGGCCAGAGGCATTGGGAGACGGCTGTGCTGATCAGACCCAGTCCCTAGTCCCCGCCGTCAGTTTGGCCAACGGAGGCACCCAGGAGCACAGGGGGCTCCCAGCTCCGGCTCCGGTACCACCCCAGAGGCAGCGAGGCGGCAAGGCAGCCCCCCACTGCCGGGATGCCTGGTCTTACTCCAGCCCCGTGGTCAGAATTCTAGGCCGGTCTGCCGAGGCACCACTGGAGAGCCTCTGGCCTCTGGGTGCTTTCAGACTACAAAAGGCAGGTCCATCTGCTGCTGAGTTTGTCCCAAACTGGTATTTTCGCTGTTAGTTTTTCTTCTGGGAATCACAGCTGCAGTATTACTGTACCTCTGACCTTCAGTTAAGATCACGCGGTAGGAAGGAAGGGAACTTGTCTTAGTCTCTTCACACTGCTATACCAAAAATGCTATCAACTCAGTATCTTATAAACAGCAAACATTTATTTCTCACAGTTCTAGAAGCCAGGAGGTCCAAGCCCATGGCGCTGGTAGATGTGGTATCGGGTGAGAAGCCGCTCCCTAACTTTCATAGAGAGCACCTTCTCCTTGTGTCCCCACATGGTGGGAGGGGTGAGGGATCTGTCTGGGGCTGTTTTAAAAGGGCACGAATCCCTCATGACCTAATCATCTCCAAAGGCCCCCACCGCCTAATGCCATCACCGTGGGCATTAGGTTTTCAACAGATGAATTCTGGCAGGGACGCCAACATTCATCTATAGCACATGAGTTCCAGTTTCCACTCTGCCACTGGTCAGTGGTGTGGACAGGTCACCTCACTTGTGTGGACTTCAGTGTGCTCATCTGCAGGAGAAGATCAGGACTGGTTGTCTCTAGACTTCTTTCCGGCTCTAGAAATTCTGACTGCCCCACAGGTTTCTGCTGGGCCCTCCACATCAGCTCTGCAGGTTTCAGACTACATACATACGTAACAGATCTGCGGAGGCCCCATATAAGGGTTTGGGGCCCCCAAAGAGCCGGAGCTCCAGCTGGGCTGGGAAGGTTAGAGAGCAGATGTAGCTGTGAAGAGTGGGGGATACGGGTGTGAGCTGCAGTGGACGAGGCCGTACGTACTTATGGAGCGCCTGCCATGTGGTGGGATGAGACCATTATAAAGGTTGTAATGATTTCAAAAGGAGTCAGGCGCTCCGCCCACTAAGTTCTGAGTGGCCACGGAACCCCAGGAAAAGCGACGTGCCCACTCAGGGAGGCCGTGGGACCGCGCTGGGGTCAAGCTGCAGCGCCGCCCGCGCAGGCACCGGGGTGAGGCCGGCCTAGAGCCAGTGGGCCTTCCACGACAGGTAGGAGTTCCAGATGACCGCGACACACTGGACAACAGCCAACCTATGGAACAGGGGCAGCGGTGGCGGCGTGAGGATGATGGAGAATGAGGAGCAAGCATGGGGGGAGGGGAAGCTGGACAAGTGCTATGGAAAAAGAGGGCTTGTCCCCGAGAATGTCCATACCGAGGTCTCCTTCCTTCAGCCCTGAGGGAGGGACGGGCGGCTCGGACCAGAGGACAAGCAGGCCGGGTTCTGGTGCTGCCCGAGCTCTGTCTCTGGGACAAGAGCCTCAGAGCGGAACATGCTCATGTCGCCAAGGGTGGCCCTTATTCACGCCTGTGCAGGCTCCTTCCGAACACACGTCTCTGTGCATCTTTACCAGCTGAAGAGATTTTATCTTCCAAAAACGTCCTGCCTGCCATGAAACGTAGTACCTCCTTCTCTTTATTGTCAATTTACCTTTCTCTAATTTCAAAGAGTATCGCAGGGACCCTAGTGTTGAGGAGCTGGTCCACAAGTCTTCCTTTAAGCTATGCTCTTCAGAGTCCCCTCAGAAGAGTTTCGTATTTTCCCCTGTTCCCAATGCCCCTTCACCCCCAGCAATTTTACCTACTCATCTTGAGTTCCACTATATTTTCTACTGTGGTTTCAGCAACTACCTTTATTATTAAGGTAGAACAGTACTCCGCAGTGGACTAACGGGCCTAGGTTCCTCCTTGGCTCTTTCGCCTGCCTTCCTGTCCTGCCTAGACTGTTGCCCCCCAGGCACTGTCCCTGCAGCTCTGCCGTCAAAGGTGAGAGCTCAGGCAGGATGGAGACGGGGCTGTGAGCAGGAGCCTCTTCAGGGAGATGAAAGGTCAGTGGGCAGGTTCTGGGACAGGTTCTCTAAAGGAGAAGTTCTGACAAGAATGCTCGAGAGTCTGAGGAACTCTGCTCAGGGCGGGGTTCTGGGAGGGTCAAAAGTGATTCAAGGTTGAAAGGAGCATCACTTTGTGTCCAGCTGTTTGTGACGTGCACCTTCCTTGGAGGGTGGGGTGAGGATGTGTCTTACCTGTAATGAAGGGGGACCAGGTAGAAGTTGGCTAACTGCACAGCAGGCCAGAGCTACAAGAGAAAGAAGGTTAAGGTTGGGGGGCTGCCTCCCTCGCTGACCCCCACACTCACTGGTCTTCCTCCAGCTTCTGCAGACAAGAACAAGGCGAACAACTGGGTGAGTGCTTCCCTCAGTATGGTGCCCACACTGGGGACGAGAGAGTCACCCCAACTGAGGGGCTTCTCTGGCGGGAGGACCCCCGTCCCTGGGCACTTCCAGACTCAAGAAAGCAGGAGAACAGGCAGCTGCGGCATCAGCGCTTACGTAGTAGTTGGTGACAAGGGCGTCAGGATAGTCCTGAGGAGACAAAAGGGACCAACTGACACGAGCACTCACTTCCACGCAGCGCCCACCTGCCAGCTTGCAGAGCACGCCCGACACAGCGGCTGTTCAAAGACCAGACTCCGACCACAGCCCCCACCCCCCCAGCTCCTCTCCTCCCCGCCTGGGGCTCTGGCTGCATCCCACCTGGCTCCTCCCCACGAGGCCGGCCTCACTGCCCTGGGGCTGCCGGGCCGCCAGCCGGAGACCGCCCCCACCTGCCCAGCTCACCCGCCGTAGCTTGGCCCAGTTGTCTTGGACTGACAGGCCATTGAGTGCTCCTACCAGTGGGAGGAAACAGCCCAGAAAACATGGCGCAAAGCCCCCCTAGGGGAGAGAAATTAAAGTTCTGTGAGCACCTAAACCCCCGCCCTCCCCCAGCACAGCTCATGCTTCCCGAGTCCCTTTTCCTTCTGCTCACCTGATCCAACAGCATCTTCTTTAGTGCATCTACCTTGGTGGTGCCGGGGAAGAGGCGGTCCAAAACCCTGTACCAGCCTCCTACTACAGGGCCCTGAAAGGAAACCCCAGGGAGGACAGAGGGTGTGCGGTGAGGGGAGCGCTTGCCTTTTGCATCACAAAGCTCTTCTCTCAAGGATTAGAAACCAAATCCCAGTGGAAGCAGACACTTGAGGTTGGCTTAGACGTACGAGAGGCCAAGGCAAACTAAAGAATGACATGGAACTAGGACCACCGTCCAGTCCTCCAGCAGCCCGGCTGTGGATGGAACTTACCACAAAGCCACAGCCCAGGGAGACCATGATCAGGGTCCGGCCAGCCTGGTGTCCCCGCAGACCTCGCTTCTCCACCAGCTGCTGTGAGATAGTGTCACCCAGGCCCATCAGGGACCCTGCACAGGGGACACGGGGGTTGTCAGGATACCTCCTGGAGATGGGCTGCCATTCCAGGGAGGGAAGGAAGTCCCTGAATGAGGCTCTGACACTTGGAGCCTAAGAGATTAATTCTGGGGCAAATGGCCAGTCCTTTACTGCTGCTTCAGAGCGTCCTGTTAGAAATTGGGAGGGGCAGCCTTGACGAGGCTGGGGCCCACAGACTCTGCAGAGTCCTAAAGAGAAGTCACAGGCAGAGACTGCAGATAAAGGAGAATCTAAGGTGCCTGGGGCTGAGAACCATGGACTATCAGAATTGGAAAAGCCTTCCAGATAATTCTATCCAAACTCCTTATCTTCGAGGTATAGAAATGAAGGTCTGGGACCTCACATAACCAGTAAGTGGCAGAATCAAGGCAAGAACCAGGTGGCTTGATTTCCTACACAGTGATTTTTCCAGGACCCATACTGTAAATAGATCATGTGTAGAATGGTAAGGAACCCTGGGGTTTTTCCCCCAGTTCCAGGCAAGTCCCTGGAAAGTGTCCTTCACCTTGGTCTTGGGGTCTCTCTTTGTGAAGGACAGCAAGAATTCTTCTTCTAAAACACGAGTGCTTACATGGTCCCAGGCAGGAAGATGACTGGTTGAACCAGTAAGAGTCCCCACAAGGAGGAGTCCTGGTCACCTCCTAGCACAATCAGATAAACCCAGACTCCCCCCCCCCACATTCACAACCTCAGACAGAGCGAACGATAGATATTATAGCCATTTCCCATCCCCAGCCCCCAGGTCTTTGTACCCGCTTCCCTTCCCTCACTCATAGACACTCCGTCCCAAGCAACCCTAGTCAGACACCCACACCCAGAAACCAAGATAGAAACAGTCACTATTTACAGAGCCCCCTGTCAGTTACAGTGGTGTGATGGTTTCCAGCAAACACACACACACAGGGTCACTTGGGAGTGACCAGATGATCTCCGGCTCGCCTGTCTGTCTCACTGAGTAATGAGAGCCCCTCTCCAGCCCCACAGCCACCACTGTCCCTGTGCCCTCAATTAGCACTGGGCAAACACATCCTTTAACCCTAGTCCTTGGTACAGAGCTGGCTCTGACGTCCATGCTGGCTGCAAACTCACTGCTCTTCCCCCACACCCTCCGCAAAGCCCTGTCCCCGAGGAGCCACATCCAAGGCAGCTGGGGAAGGCTGGGGCCATGGGGGAGCCAGGCTGCTGGCCCCAGAGGCACCCATCATGGCAGTCCGGACTCTCCTCTCCCTGAAACTCAAAGTGCTGGAGGCTCTTCCCAGAACGTGCTAACCACAACCGCCCAGAGGGTAAGGACAGAATCCTAGACATCTTTTTTTTTTTTTTTTTTTTGAGAGAGAGAGCACAAGCAGGGGGAGCGGCAGGGCAGAGGGAGAAGCAGACTCCCCGCTGAGCAGGGGGCCCGATGTGGGGCTCGATCCCAGGACCCTGGAATCATGACCTGAGCCGAAGGCAGACGCCCAACCGACTGAGCCACTCAGGCGCCCCAATCCTAGACATCTTTGTTCTCTTATCCCCCGCCACACCTAACCAAGGGCCTGGCAGGTGCTCAGAAAACCAACCAAGGAAAAATGTCAAATGTACTGCCCCAAACAACAGGCCCACTCCAGGAAGGGCGTGAGTAGCCCACAGGCTCACGTGTCAGGCTCAAGGCGTGGGGACCTGTGGAAGTGGAGACTTGCTCCCTGCGCCACGCCGTCGGCACTCATCTCCCTACCTCCTGCCTCACCTCCCCCAGGGAGGGCCTGCTGCCGTGGCCATGCATAAAGGCAAGGGTACCTGGAGAAGGCCCGCAGAGGGCGTAACAGAAGGCAGCCGCTTCTTAAATGAAGAGACCTAACAGTTTGACACTCTACTTTGGCAAAATGTTTACAGCTTACAAATGGCTCTCACACATGTAATCCTCATGAAAGGTCTGGGAGGGGGCGCCTGGGTGGCTCAGATGGTTAAGCGTCTGCCTTCGGCTCAGGTCATGATTCCAGGGTCCTGGGATCGAGTTCCGCATCGGGCTCCCTGCTCCTTGGGAGCCTGCTTCTCTCTCTCTCTCTCTCTGTCTCTCATGAATAAATAAATGAAATCTTGAAAAAAAAAAAAAAAAAAAAAAGAAAGGTCTGGGAGGTAGGGTCACACTTCCATTTAATGTCTTTGAGAGATGAAGTTACTTGGTAAGGAGTAGAGTGGGGCCGAACCCAGGCCTTCTCTCAAGCAGGGGCAGGAGGCTCGGGAACTACAGAAGGGGCGGAGACTTGGGCGCAGGGGTCAGGGGCACCAAGAGGCCTCTGGCTTCTATTCGCAGGACGTTCCTGCCCAAACAAGGCCCCAAAGGCCATGCGTCAAAGACACTTCTTGGACTAATGCACTTCCTGTCTTTTGCTGCCCAGGAGGTGACCCTCTCTGTTCCTTGTCACCTTGTGGGGAGGGCAAGCAAGCAATATTCCTAGGTCACAACAGTCACAAAGAGAGGGAGGTGTGTGTTTTCACTCTTTGTGGCTTGCCAACAGTCACCCAACAAGCTGAAGACAGAGCAGGAATGATAACCACAGTCCGGGGAGCCAGCAGCCTTTGAGAAAGACGGACTCCAGGACCCCAGACCATGCTCATCAGGCAGAAGGGCAGCAGTGAGAGGGAGTGGGCTTGTAGCTCTGGAGCCCCCGCGGGCCCTGCCCATTTCAGACAGAGCCGTGCCCCGCGGTTCCTCCTCTGCCCATAGATCATCGGGGCGCTGGGCCTGCAGCACCTCCAGGGCGGTTGAAGGCTTTGGTCTGAGCACAGAGCAGGCCCGCATCTCTGGCCCAAGTGAGTTCGAGCAAGAAGAGCTGACATTCAGATTCCTCACTCTACCTTCCCCAATGCCAGAGCCCAAACAGGCCCCAACTGAGTCCTCCTGACACATATGGTTGGTCTAGATCTTTCAGTGCTCTGGCTCCCCTTGCCTCAGCCTTGTTTCCAGGGGGTTGGAGCCAGAGACCTGCGGAGACGTAATGCCCGAGCCCTGATGGGGCAGGGTGAGGGGCTGCCGGGCAGTGATGCCCAATGCCAGGCTGGGCGTGGAGCCCAGCAGGCAGACGCTGGCGCAGGTGTGACATCATGCCCTTGGGTAGGTGCCAGTTCTCATGCCGTCACTCACCACCGGATTCAGCGGAGGGGGTGGGGGGCAGGCTGCCTAAGCACCGATCTATTTGGGACCACCCCCTGCCCGCTAGTGGAAAAGCCCCAACTTCCACACCGTCTTTCTAGTTCCCTACTTCTCCCATTTTGTTCCTCTCCTGGCTTTTGTGTATGGGGTCATAGTTGCAAGAAAATAAAGTGCTAATGGAAGATGAGAAGGTTGAGGGGCTGGGGCGCCTGGGTGGCTCAGTCATTAAGTGTCTGCCTTCGGCTCAGGTCATGGTCCCAGGGTCCTGGGATCGAGCCCCGCATCGGGCTCCCTGCTCGGTGGGAAGCCTGCTTCTCCCTCTCCCACTCCCCCTGCTTGTGTTCCCTCTCTCACTGTGTCTCTCTCTGTCAAATAAATAAATTAAATCTTAAAAAAAAAAAATTTATGTTGTCTTAACCTAAGTTTCATAATTATAAATAAGCGCAAAATAAGGGGCGCCTGGGTGGCTCAGTCATTAGGCGGCTGCCTTCGGCTCGGGTCATGATCCCAGGGTCCTGGGATCGAGCCCCGCATCGGGCTCCCTGCTCAGCGGGAAGCCTGCTTCTCCCTCTCCCACTCCCCCTGCTTGTGTTCCTGCTCTCGCTGTGTCTGCCAAAAAAAAAAAAAAAAAAAAGGTTGAGGGGCAGCAAGGTGGAATGGGGAGCAGGAAGTGTGTCCTTGAGAGTCAGAGGCCTGGGGTGACAGGTACAGCTACTGGCATGGGGCCAGCGGTGCTGCTGACTCACTCCTCCCCAGAAGTCTGCACAGTTAAAAGGCTGCCTGGGCTGGGGGCTGGCTCTGACAGACCCCAGAGGCAACTGAAGCCTAGCAGAGATGGGGAGAGTGCATCCTCTGGGACTGCTCCGAATGCTCTCCCCATTCCTGGCCCGAAGCTGTCCTACTGCTAGAAAATGAGACAAAACGGAGGGCTCTACAGCTTGTCAGGTATGTCAGTCCAGACCAACAGGGACTACACTCAGCTTTTGAAGACCCCGTAGTCTCGAGTGCAGGGCAGAGCACTGGGAAGTGTGCTCCGTTCTAAGGCCAGTCCTACCGCTGACCATGGGGACCCCAGTGCACGTCCCCCCCACCCCTGCCGCAGTCTCCTGCTCTATGGTATCGGGGCTGGACTGGACGCTCCAGGGCCCGATGAGCTCTCACATCCCGGCAGAAGTCAGACTCCAGGGAAACCAGTGTCTGCCCCTCGGCTGCCCCCTATAGCAGGACTAGATTGGCCAAAAATGGATGGAGCTGGGCCCGGGGCCCGCTGGAGACTGGAAGGGCCCTCCAGAAAGGACGGGAAAAGGCTGACTCAGGCTCTGCAGAACACACAGTGGACCTTTTCCCAGGCTGCTCTGTTCCTGACTTTAGCTTGGTCAACACTAGGCATATCAGACACTTCTTTTGAACCATTTCAGATCCTGATTCACTTATCCCTTATTCTGGCCACTCCTGCAGCTCAACCTGATGAATCCTGCCTCAGGCCTGGGTCATACCCAGGGCTGCGCCCTTGATGCCTTAGCCGGGGACTGCACACAGGTGTTGACATCCCACGTGGCAAACCTTTGACCAATGTGGGATGAGAGCTGCTGGGTAAAGGTTTCTTTTCTCCAGAAAAGGCTATTCTCCCCTATAGTCCTAAGAGGCATTTCAAAGAGCTTCTCAGTCAGTTTTAAGGGATGGGGCAGCCATGTGCCTTAAGCAGTGTATGCAATCTGACCTTCCTTATACCGGCTCTCCCTCCTCCCCCATGGGACTACTTCCTACTCCCTTACAAAGTACCTGCACCAAAGCCCCAGGCTCTGCTGTTAGAGAACCAAGGCTGAGAGAATCACCCATGTTCAAATTTAAGGCAAATGGAACAAATGGAGCCAAAACACCACTAGAAAAAGAACAGCTTGGGGGCGCCTGGGGGGCACAGTCGGTTAAGTGTCCGACTCTTGGTTTCAGCTCAGGCTGTGATCTCAGGGCGTGAGATCTAGCTTTGCATCGGACTCTGTGCTGAGCGTGGAGTCTGCTTGAGATTCTCTCTCCTTCTCCCTCTGCCCCTTGTGGGCTTGTGTGTGCTCTCTCTCTCTAAAAAATAAATAAATAAATCTAAAAAAAAAGAACAGCTTGTTGTGTGTGGGTTGACAACACTCATGGAAAGGGCCAAGCCCCGAAGCCTTTATGTCTATTAAGCATTTTTACTTCTAAAGCCTTTTCACAGAGATAACCCTCATGCTGACTCTGTCAGGTCAGCTAACGCAACTCAACTCCTGAACGAGGAAATTGAGGCTCTAAGAGGTTTACTGACTTACTTGTCTCTCTTCGGGTAGCTACTGGGGGCTACGACTCTGAAATTCGAATCCTGCTCTTCTAACTCCAAGTCTGAAATCTCTATTCGGTCTTCCAGTGTGAGGAGCTATCCCAGGGGGCCGGAGGAAGCAATGTGCTAGGATCTAAAAACAGAGCTAAACCCACCTTCTCCCTTTATTCGTAGTTTGATCCAAATACACTAGCAGCAGGGAAGAGGTCTGAGAGAAGTGCTACCTAGAAAGTGCTTCAGGGCCGCACAGAGATGTGGGCTCTCGCACCGACAGACCAGCACCCCAGTTCGGCCACATATCTGTGCAAGGGCCCCTCTGAAGGACAGCTCCTCCCCTTGTCCCCCGCACACACCTTGGGCAGGGAAACACAAGGACTATCCCTCCCTCTCTCTTCTTGATGGCCATGAGGGGGATCCTTCCAGCAGTGAAGGGCCCTGAGGGAGTCTGAGGCTGGCAAAGGGCCCAGCGTGTCAGTCCCCTTCGCAGCCCCACAGTCCAGCATGAGTCACCACACACGCAACCAGGTGAGTCATGCAGGCTGACGGACACTCTGAGGACAGGACATGGGGTGGTTGGGCACGGAGGTTGGAGAGGGGCCCAGGGAGGGCAAAATCACCCATCCCTTGGCCAGTCACCCAGTGAAGTTTCTAGCGCTTCACCCAGTGAAGTTTCTAGTGCTGAAGTGGGGCTGTTCCAGTAAGAGGCCTGCTGTTCCTCCCTGGCTTCCATAGCCTGCCACTCCTCTCAACGGTCTTCCTCTCAGAAGTCCATGGTCCACCCTAGAATCCTCTTCCCTTCCTCTAAACATAGGCAAGATCCCATCTTAACCCGATCACTCTTCACTGCCCCAAGAGTCACAGACCTTCTAGTCCTCTCCCCTGTAAAACTTACATATCTCTGTGCCATCCCCTCACTTCTTAGCTAAGGTGAAAAATAAAGATGGTAGCAAATGCAGGTAAGTCACTGGATTACCTTTGTTAGGTTGCTATCCAATCACTGGATTTGGAGTAAACATAAATCCTTGATTAGTGTATTGTTTGGGGATACATACATGGGTAGTAAAACTGTAAGAAAAGCAAAAGAGTGGTATAAACAAAACTCAGGAAAGTAGTTATTTCTTGGCTTGTATGAGTTAGGGATAGGTGCTCAAGGGTTCTCAAGCTGGGTGCTGATACAAGAGTAATCAGTTTTAATACTATTTAAACTGTACACACATGTCTTAACCATTCTTTTGTATGTTAAGATATTATTTCATGATAAAAAAAAAAACAAATGAAGAAAAATAAACTGGGGTAAGAGTCCTGATCCCAACACTTACTAGGTGTGTAATCTAATGTGGACTCAAGGGATCCTAGCTCACAGATCTTTGTGGGGACCCTATGGGATAATGTGTTGAAAGTATTCTGCACACTGTAAGATGTTAGAGGGGCGTTTGCTGTTAGCTTTCTAAGTTAAGGCCTCCTGGGGGAATGCCTTTAACCCGAAGGGATGACTCCTCAGCTCTCTGAGGACTTTCAGATCCTACTTTACACCTAGGTATACCCTTCCCTTTGGAACAACCTTGGGGACCCACCCTCCAAAAGACTGGGGACAACTTTGGATGAGAGAGAGCCAACCTTTCAAGGGGGCTCAGTAGAAGCAAAAAATGAGGGAGGTTTGGTGGGGTGAGGTTCTGCCTCCCCAATCAGCCGGCTCTGGTCCCACTCAGGTCTATTCACTCACCAGCTGTCAGGACCTGTACCTTCCACGGGTGAACGGTCAGGGCTCGCTGGTATGCCCGCCAGAGTGCCATGATTCCTGTCAAGCCAAGAGGAGGGGGGGGTGTCACCCCCACTGCCCCTCCCCACAATTAAAGAGACACTTGACTTTCCCTTGTGTCCACTCCCTCTTCCCGACCCGATTCCAAAATGTCCTAGAGGGGAGAGGCCTCAGGAGGGATGCTTCCTGGACAGCTTCCTGTCACAGGGATCGCCTCAGGCAATCAGGTAATAGAGGAAGGCTGTAGGCGGCTGCGGAATCTCGGTGGCAGTCACCCGCCACCCCATCTCTGAAGCAGAGCCACCTGGGGGGCCTACTTCCGTACCGAGACAGTCATAAGGGCAGGTTTGCTCTGGCTTTCACCCAGAGCCTGGTCGGTCCCCACATTCACTCTTAAGTTGGAACCAGCCCGCATCCTTCCTGAGTCCAACTCCACACCAGAAATAGTGTGGCCCCTCTCTGGGCCTGGACCGGTCTCATACGCTTTGGACGCTCCAGGCACGCGACGAATTGAGCCAGGAAAGGAGAATCGCCCGGCACTCACCTGCGTTTGCGTCCTGCCCCTCCCACGTGACCCGACCCGGGAAGGACTTCCGCCGCAAGCCCCGCCCCTTCCGCCTGGCTGCCCCCGAGGATTTCCACCCCGCGGGCAGCCGAGGCTGGAGTGGGAGTGGACTGAGCGAAATAACTTGTGGAGAACCACTCAGCCGTCCGTCCGTGAGCAACCCCTTTCCCAAGTGGACCGCGCCGGGTCTCGGTGCCCCGCCTGCCATAGTCCCCAGCTGGGGCCGACCTCTAGCGTCTTCATGCCCCTTCTCTCCCCGAAGCCCGGACTTTTCAACCTGAACAGACCCTCACTGCTCCCGCACCCCGGAACTGGCCAAGGTGCTGACGCCCTTCTCAGTCTCGGAAATCAACTTGGAAACTATAAGCCATAGTTAAGTGCGTGTTATTTTTTCAGTGTCCCTGGGTCTTCACTAGCCTTGTGAGCTCCTGAATGGGTGAAAATGGGTCTTGTTCGTATTTGGCATCCTCGTAGCACCTAGTTCAGTCTTTGTCCACAGTAGCCTTTAGAAACGCTGTGTAAAGAGGACTCCTTCATGGAAAGCACGGGATTCCAGAACCTCAGAAGGTCTTGGTACTGGTTTTGTAACTTAGTGGGCTCTACAACCTTGGTCATCGCTAGACTTGAACTTAAGGTTCCTCATCTGTTAGACTATGTTTTTCAAACTGGGCTCCTCAGTGTTAGGGGTTTACAAGGAGATGATTTGGGGAGGTATCACTACAGGTTTTTCTTTACCTCGGCTTAAATATATTTCTAGAAAGAGCCACTTTTAAACAAAGGGATCCACAACTAAAAGTGTTTGGAAACCACTAGATTAGGTGATTTCTTAATCCCTTTTCAGCTTTAACATTCTAAAATTTTGTCAATATAGTGCAACAGCCTTCCTAGGGTGGTGGAAACTACTATAAGATCCCTGGCAGATTTGTCAGGCTGGCAGCCTTCACTTAACTATATTCAGGAAACCCACACTACAGGAAGCAGCCATACCTGATTCTTTCAGGTATGTAACCCTAACCCTAACCCTAAATCTCACTGATTCACACCAGCGAGCCCTGACCGTTCACCCGTAGAAAGTACAGGTCCTGACAGCTGGTGAGTCAATAGACCTGAGTGGAACCAGAGCCGGCTGATCTGGGAGGCAGAAGCTCTAGCCCCCACTTACTCAATTCTTGTATGATTAAGACAGGGAGAATCCTGTCACAGGTACTGGAGAAACACAATGAGGAAGCAAGATATTTCGATGTCACACTTAAAGGCTCCTATATGCAAAACACCATGCCAGGAGTGAATTTACACTAGTAAATTAATAGGAGACCAAATGTGGTAGGATGGAAAGTTGTTCTCTGAAGTCAGACTGTCTACTTTCAAATCCCAGCACCACCACTTAGTAAAGTGACCTTATTCAGACTGCTCAAACTCTCAGAATCTTATCTTTACAAGTAAAATGGGGCAATATCTACCTCATATGATTAAGTAACATATGCAAAATGCCTGAAATAGATCAAGTGTTTAAATAAACACTCATGTATCCTCTTTTCTTCCTTCCCTCTTGAGAACACATGGGAGGGAGAATTTTTAAGAGAGAAATCTGGGAAGCTCCTTGGTAAAAGGTGAAATCTGAGCTGGGGCCTTGAAGGATGAGTGTGGCTTATGTGGAGATGATGGAGGGAACAGTGTGAGCAAAGGCACAGGAAAAAAAGTACAGGAATCCATGGATAGTATAAAGTGGATATATTGGGAAGGAAGGTTGAAGTAGAATGGCCTTCAGAGAAAAGGGTTTATGGTAGAGAAAGCAAGGGCTGAAAGCATTCTCCTGATTTTCTTTTGGAGGTAGAGACCAAGGCTAAGAGTCAGGAGCAGGAGCAGGGCTGCCAGCACCAACCTACAGCCTCAACAGCATGGGTCCCCAGGTCCCATCTTTTCTGCCACAGAAGGTGGAATTCCATGATGCAATGTCAAGGGCCTGCCGTGGAGAAGCAAATCTTCTCTGCAATGGAAGGCACTTCCCTATCAGCTCAAAAACAAAACCGGCATAACCTGAGCTTGAACACAACAGGATGGTACAATACTTGCGTCCTTTGCACCGACGTGTGTTGTGATCCCTCTGCTGCTAATAGTCCGGTTGCCTCCAGGTTCTATTTCCTCTTCCATACCGGAAGATGCCTTCCATACTGCTTGATGCCTATCTTCTTGACATACGATAAATTCCCTACACCCAAGGGGCAGAAAGCTGTTCCCAGGTATCTGGCCAACCAGTCCACAGTGCCAGTGGGTTTTGTTCCAGGTAGGCACTAAGTTAATCTCCACTCCCTTCAGTTGGAGCTGGCTGTGTATTTTCCTCTCTTTTCTGAGGTCATCTGACTACTTCCCCCAAACTTGATTGTACTCCCATACACTCCAAGACTATGGTTTGCCTATTTCTCATTGCTGGGGTCTGTCTTTGGTTAGGAGGCAGTACTGCACTCCCTATGAGTCTGCAGCATCCCGCAAGAGGACTCTAACAAGAGAAGATATAACAATACATTACAGTACTTGGGTTTTAAACACCTCCTATATAAAGATTTGAAATAAAGTAGCTAGACATGTTTAATAAGTCCACAATGTGACAGTATCATGAAGGACCAAAAATCATGACGTGTAAAGAATGGTTAAAGTAACTGAAGATATTTAATCTACAGAAGAAAAGACTTGGGAAACACATGATAGCTATTTTTAAATATACTTAAAAAGGCAATCACAGGGAAAAATGACTAGATTTCCTAATACCCATGGTGAAATTTATAGAAGTATACTCTTTGACTTGATATAAAGGAAGATTTTTTTAAAACATGACTGCCTAGGAGTGTTCAAGTAGGGTCAGACGACCAGTGATTGGGAATATTTCATAAGCAGGAGCAAGTAAGATCTGAGCCACTGTTCTCCTGGTAGGGTGTTTGTGGTGTTCCTCAGTTAAAGAAGTACTGTAAGCAGCTTCAGTCCAATAAATTACTATCACCCCTCCTGGGCATGTGTGTTGGTTACTCTAAAGAGGAAGTTGAGAAGGCAGTAATACTGGATCCTGGAATATAGTCACATAGGAGCCTTCATGCGGATACCCCCTCCAGTTCTCCAAACACCCACTCACGTGTGGTCTCAAAAACACCCAGTACCTTTACTTAGCTTTACCCACTTCACAATATGCTCAATATGAGCTATTTGACTTCCAAGCCTAGGTCAGGCCTGAGTGTTACTCATGAGCCATAGCTGTAGGCTGAGGAGCCTTGAGAGTTTCTGGAGGGATAGCCCCCCCGCCCGCAGGGGGCTGTGATGACAGAAGTCTGTGGAAGGAGAGGTATCTAAGGAGTCCTGGCAAGGCAGATCTAAAGGTCCAGGTCTGGCAGCATCACTATCCATGAAGACCCCAGTTCCTATGGCTCTGTGCATGGGGGGCCATTTGTTCCTGGCAGATTTCATTCCAAAGGTCCTGTGTGGACCACGACTAGGGACCGGGCAAAAGGCGATGGCTGGTTGGAGGGAAGCCAGGCCCTTTAATTGGGGAGGACGGCTGGAACATAGCACTGAAGTGGGCTCGACTCTCAAGCTGCATACGGTGGCCCAGGGGTGAGGTGAGTCCACGGACAAAATGGATCCGAACCAGCCCAGACTGTCCCCCAGATACCAGCCATCCATAGGAATCCAGGTTTGGGCTGAAGCGGACCTGAGAAGAGAATTGAAAGCAAGAGAGATGTTCACAGTTGGTGCTTTAGGGTGAATCCTAGTTCTAAGAAGGGGAGAAAAAGGGCAACAATCTGAAAGGATAGGACCATGATGGGGTGAGAGAGGCAGGAAAGAGGTAGGTCTATCATGCTGTGGAGGATCAGGTTGCCAGAGCGGTCTTCCTTCCTTCCCTCTGCTACCTTTTCATCCCCCGTTTCATTGATCGTAGCTTCAGAGCTGGGAGGAAATGAGAGTGAAGAAGGGTGGAGAAGATGAGAGACAAGGTTTTTACCTTGTGAATAGCCTCTAGCTGCAGCCGGTCCAGGCAGAGCTGCGAATGCCCCTCTCCTTCCTGCATGCGCAGCATTGGCTCCCTATGGAGGAGATCGTGGAAGGAACCCTGGGGAGGAGGGAGAAAGCCAGCTTCTCAGTCTTGCATCTTTGTGCTGCAACTCCTTACAATGCCCTACTGTACCAGGACTAAAATTTTCTTTTTTAAAATGCCACACCCATTCTCCTGGCCTCAATTTACCAAATCTGTGTCTTGAAAGAGCAAGTAGTGATGGTTGACAGTTTCAGCGTAAGTTCGAGCTTTGGGAGGGTTGGGGGCCTCAGATGAAGTAGAAGAATGGTCTCGACCTTCAGGGCTGTCCTGATATGGCATCAGATCTGCTTTATATATAGGCTAGAAAGGAGACCATGAGATTAGGTCCTATAATACTAGACAGAATAAAAGAGAAAATTGATGGGGCGCCTGGGTGGCTCAGTCGGTTAAGCGTCCGACTCTTGATCTCAGCTCAGGTCTTGATCTCAGGGTCGTGAGTTCAAGCCCTGTGTTGGGCTCCACGCTGGGCATGGAGCCTACTTAAAAAAAAAAAAAAAAAAAAAAAAAGGAGAGAGAGAAAATTGGTTTTGGGCAAGAAAGACTTAAAGACGGAAGAAGGTAGTATGTTTAAACACATGCACAGATGCACTAGGGTAGGGAAGATGATGTACAACTTTGTGCTAAGACTTCCAGGGACAATATCAGGTCTGGGAGACCTAATCCAAATTTACAGTTCTAACTTAGGAGGTCATGTGGATTAGGACCCAACAGATGGTGCTACCATTAAATATTCATATACGTACGAATCTTCTCTCTACAGGTCGCTTGACATTTATTGGGTTCAGTGCCATATCAGGCAGTATGGCTGCAATGAGCTCCCCGGATATATCTCCTGCGGCTATTGTCCCAAGCCAGTCGGATCCTGAAAGACTCTAATAAGAAGAGACAGATTTCTTTCATTCATTCATTCACTCATACTGTTTCCGTTCTGTGAGCTGGGAACAGCCACACAGTCTGAAGTGGAAGACACACAGAAAAACAAAAATGAGTTTATCGGATGGAGGGATGGGGTCACTGGGGGATGGACATTAAGGAGGGCACATAATGTAATGAGCACTGGGTGTTATATAAAACTGATGAATCACTGAACCCTACCTCTGAAACTAATAATACATTTTATGTTAATTAGTTGAATTTAAATAAATTTAAAAAAAAGTTTATCCTAACATTTATCCCTGACGATACAGTTACCATACATCTATCTACTTCTATGCAAAACTACTGCCTCTTCCCAACCACCAGGAGGTGAGTAAAGGAATCGTTTTCCTGTGTAATGAAGACAGGCTCACCCAGACAGTGCCTTTTCGAGGAGCAGTGAAATAGGCCTTGAAACCAAGGTAACCAGCATCAATATAATGAATCCCACAAAGTCCATAACTGTAAGAGAAAGACAAAATAAAACTTTCTTTTCTCCAAAACAGCATTCATTTCCCTTTCCCAATTCCTTCCAGAATTCAAATTACCTCAATGAAACAACTCTCACCCCTCCTCACCCCACACTATCTGGCACACTTTGCACCCCAACCCTTAGGGCCTGTCCCTAGAGCTCCTCCCATCTGCATCCTGCCGTACGAGGCATAGCAGTTGTCCTGAGCCACAGTGACACCATTGTAGGGAAGCAGCCAGGCCAGCTCTGTACTCAAGAAGCGCTTGATAGAGTTTATGGGTTCATACGGTCGTCGAAGGTCCCAGAATTTTATTTTGCGGTCACTCCCCGCAGAGACGAGGAAATGACTGTGGAAAGAGGGCAGAAGAGGGAGAAGATCAAATCTGAGCAAGTCTCGGAGCAGCGGCCTTCCCGGGCCTCACCTCCCACCCCACAGCTCTCCTGTCCTGTACCTGTTAGCTTTGCACCACTGAAGGGTACGCACAGCCTGGTCATGGGCTAGGAAACACTGGAAGGGGTAGAGCTTCAAGGAGCCGTCAGAGAGCCGTATCCGCTGCAGGGGTGAGTTAGTCGGAAGGTTCCAGAAAACCACCATGCCTGAGACAGGGATAGAATGTATAGGTATTAGAGGCAAGTTCTCTCTTCTTTTGCTCTAATATCTTTCTCTGGGCTCCTAGGACCTTTGCCTTTACCCTCAGATGTGACCCCCTTATGAAAGGATATAGGGATCATGATTAGCTAGCCAACATTCCCTCCGTGGTATTTTAGCTCCAACTCTCATCAACAAAAAATAGCTCAGTCTGGGACTTGTGGTTGAAAGATAGACTGAATACACCCAATAGCCTCTATTCCCTACTAAATAGAAACAAAGGGATTTATTTATTTATTTTTTAAAGATTTTATTTATTTATTTGACAGACAGAGACACAGAGAGAGAGGGAACACAAGCAGGGGGAGTGGGAGAGGGAGAAGCAGGCTTCCCAATGCGGGGCTCGATCCCAGGACCCTGGGATCATGACCTGAACCAAAGGCAGACGCTTAATGACTGAGCCACTCAGGCACCCCAAAGGGATTTTTTTTCTAAAAGCATAAACCCTCTAGGACAAGGGTTGGCGAACTACAGCC